GGAAGCTGAGGCGGGAGGATCAATACAGCCCAGGAATTTGAGACCAGCCTGGGCAACACAGCAGAGACCCTGCCTGCCTAAACAAAAAATAGTAATTAGCTAGGTGTGGTAGCATGCACCTGTGGTCCTAGCTACTCAGGAGACTGAGGCAGGAGGATCACTAGAGCCCAGTGAGCTGTAATTGTGCTGCTGCATTCCAGCCTGGGTGACAGAGCAAGACCTTGTCTCTAAAAATACAGTGGACCATGCAAGACAAGTTACAAGTCTGTCAACCCAGCTTCTTCAGGCTGGCTGCATGGCAGCTGGAACAGGGCTGCCCAAGACAGCATCTGCAGTAGGCAAAAGAGTAGACCCACTGGGCACGGTGGCTCATGCCTGTAATCCCAGCACTTTGGGAGGCTGAGGCGGGCAGATCACCCGAGCTCAGGAGTTCAAGAGCAGCCTGGGCAACATGGCAAAACCCCATCTCTACTAAAAATACAAAAATTAACCAGGCTTGGCCCGGCACGGTGGCTCACGCCTGTAATCTCAGCACTTTGGGAGGCCAATGCAGGCAGATCACGAGCCTCAGGAAGGAATTGAGAGCTCTGTGCGAACCGGGCACAGGAAGCTGCTTAAATAGGCAGACCGTCGAGAAACGGCTGCCTCTGGAAACACCCAAGAAACAAACGCCAGACTGGTCACACACAGAGAGGGAAAGGCACCTCCAGAGAGGAGGCTGGCGACAGTCGGAGGGAGAGCAGAAGCATCACACTTATCAATCTTATTCCATAGTTAACAAACCACCAAAGCAGTCAAGGGGAAGTAGAACCCGTGATATCAGAGCCATGTTAAGAAAACTAACCCAGCAGAGGTATCTAGTATAGACTGGATAGGAAGAAGTTATAAAATGTTAGATTACTCTAACACCTCTATGCCAGAAATGCTGGTCTGAAATATAGCAGACCATGGCTGGGCGCAGTGGCTCATGCCTGTAATCTCTATACTCGGGAAGCCAGGGCAGGAGGATCACTTGAGCCTAGGAATTCGAGACTAGCCTGGGCAACAGAGCGAGACCCTGTCTACAAGAAAAAATAATTAGCTGAGTGTGGCAGAATGCACCTATAGTCCTAGCTACTCGGGAGGCAGAGGCGGGAGGATCACTAGAGCTCAGGAATTTGTGACCAGCCTGGGCAATACAGTGAGACTGGTCTTTCTCCAGTTGGGTCTGACCACAGCCC